TTGGTATGGTGATAGCTGGTTAACCGGGTCAACGTATAGGATACTTTTTACCGCGGGAAAATATCTAATTTCTAAGAAAAAATACAAAAACTGCTATGTAAAAGTATACTAATATGTAAAACTTAAGAATTTGGTTTTTGGTCACCTGAACGCGGGCGGAGCCGCGGGCAATGATTGTTTATTTTAAAAATACGTTTTGCAATGTGTTTATCTTTGCTATGTAACAGAACAATAATTAAGTTTTAGAATACCTAACTCTTGATAGCCTTTACAACTTGAAAATTCTGATTAAAAAAGAAGATTTTAGATCAAAATATTGTACTATAATTCTATTTTATACGGTCCCATAAGCACGAATCACGTTATGGACTTCATTAAAATGCACACACGTTCGAAGCCGTCTATTTGAATATACCTATGCATGAATATTGTCTTATTTAAACCAAACTAACGACTTTTGCTTATATTGGCTCAGGGGGTAACACAGTAATTTACAGAGATCAGAAATCATTATATTGCGCACTAGCGACTCACTCTCGTTTCGCTCCGATTCGTCTCTAGGTTCTTCTTTGATTAGATTCTTCATTCAGAATTGACATAACTTATATGTTTATTTAATATTTTATTTCTTGTATTTATAAACACGTTTGGCTCAGTTTGTAGTGACCCTACTTGTTGTGCCAGCGGTCGCGGGTTCGAGTCCCGCTGGGGGCATTCATTTGTGTGATGAATATGAATGTTAGTACTCCAGTCATGGGTGTATATATTTATAACATGTATGTTATATATGTGTAGTGTATCAACTATCTGGTATCCATGACACAAACCTCGTCGCTTACAATGGAATTAGATGGTGCTGTGTGTTAATGTCCCAACGTATATATTTATTATATTTATTATTATATATTTCATGTTTCTAAGCAAGTGTTCAATAACCGTACTTGTTTATCCACAGCAAATAACATTCCCAGAAAGAAATCAATAAAAATTAATGATTAAAGTATGACAAATAATTTCGCAAAAGTATCGGTATTTTAATTTTATGATTTCCTTCCATATATTTTTTTCGCAACTTCCAAAATAAAATTAAATAATTAATATGTTGGGATATTAACACACATCACCATCTAGGTCAATGGTAAGCTACGAGGCTTGTGTTATGGATACCAGATAGTTAATACACTACACATATATAACTTTAAATACATACATATTACGAGTATAAACACCCATGACTGGAGTACAAACATTCGTGCTCATTACACAAATAATTACCCCTAGCGGGGACTGGAACCAGCGACCGCTTCATCCTAGACCGTCATTCTAAACTGAGCCAAACGTATCTTTATAATAATTTTATATAAAAAAAAACATACTTACGTGAACTTGAGATAATATTTTTGTTTATAATTACCAGTTTCTTTACAGAATGATTTAGTATGAAATTAATAAATTTAAAAACAGTGTTAAATTAAATTCACTTAATGAGTTTGTAAAATCAGTCAAATGGAACTAAAAACTCTATATTATACAGTTATTTATCTAGTATCTAGATAACAGTATATAATAATTACATTTCTGTAAATTTAAAAAGGCAGTGGCAGCTCAGTGGTAATGCGGTTGCTTGGAAAACCAAGTGAAGCGGCCAGCCAATACAAATCAAAGCACACCGACTTCGAAAATATCTGATTAGGTATCTATTCTAAATGAAAACCCTCGCTTAGTTGTTTTTCACTCTCCAGGCGGAAGTCGGTTTTTTTTTATTATTTTTTTTTAATTTTTTATATTTGTACGTATATATGTTTATTTAAATTAAGATTATCAATATGAATCTTGTATTGATTTTCATAATATGTGAAACACGAAGCTAATTTCATTCTTAAAAGTAGGTTTAAAATTGCCTTCCAAAATTAAATTAAAATAATTAGTTTTTAGTTACCTATCAGTGGAATTAAAACCATGTTATAAAGTAGGAAATGAAAAAAAATTAGGAAAAAAATAAATAAAATGATATAACTAGCACTTGTTATAAAGCTAATAAGTAATTATTAAGTTTGTATGCATCGCTATGCCATTGTATACTATTTATTGGAAACGTGATAATTATATGAACACATCACAGCCTTCGCTGTGGGTCTAATCCTAAGGCACGTAATATTTTGCTTATATTATAGGCAAATAGAATTGTTAAATAGGTTTACTATACTTCCACTATAAAGTCGAATAGTACTCGTAACTACTACGTTATTTATACATATAATAAAACAGTAGAGGTCAAATGTCTGTACATAGTAAAAAAAATGCTAAAAACCGAGTCAGGGTGATGTAAGAAGAGAAATTGAACAAGTCCAGATTTTTTTCAATTTTTTTGTTTCTCTGTCTGTTTGTACAGGCTAATCTCCGAAACTGTTGAACCGATTTAAATGAAATTTTGCATGGTGGTACCTTATATCTCTGGTCAACATTTTGGAGACTTTTTATGCTGGAAACTTAATGAGTTCCCGTGGGATAGTTAAAAAACTATAGTAACTTATATAGCTTAGTACACAAAAACTACTCACTGATTGGATTTTAATGACACTTTACAATAATATATTTCATACATCAGAATAACAAATAGGCTACTTTTAACCCGGAAAAATGTACGGTTCTCGTAGGATATATTTGTTTTTGTTTGTTTAAAGGCGAACCCAAGCGAAGCGAGGGTGAACCACTAGAAAAATAATAAAATTTGAAAAAAACTCGGTTTTAGCATATTTTTTCTATGTACAGACATTCGACCTCTACAGTTTTATTATAGTATAAATATTATTATAATTTATTATCCGCATAAATACATTTTATTTTGATTTCCGCATCCACACATAATAATATATTAATAATTTGAAGGATTCGGCCAATTTAGAGTTTGCATTATATTTGAATTTAATTCGTGATGGTACTTTTTTATTTTTCTTTTTTTAATTATCGACTGATACAAAATTCTTGTTTTATATACATATACATAAAACTGCAGTATAATCTATACATATAATAAAACTGTAACTAAGTCAAATCTGTACATTAAATATTTTTTGGAAAATCTAATTGAAAGAGACATTATTATCGATACAGAGTCCGAATCTATGATTTTAGAATTTTTGTCTGTCTGTCTGTCTGTCTGTCTGTCTGTTACCGCATAACGAGAAAACCACTGGAAAGATTTTGATGATATTTTGTATGATGATAGCTGGTTATCCGGGTCAACATATAGGATACTTTTTACCGCGGGAAAATATCTCATATCTGAGAAAAAATACAAAAATTGCATTGTAAGAGTATGCAAATATGTAAAACCTAAGAATTTGGTTTTTGGTCATCTGAACGCGGGCGGAGCCGCGGGCAATGCTAGTAAAGCTATAATTTGCAAATATGCGCTACCTGTTTTTTTTAATTCATAGCCTATTTATTGAGAAAGGCTATCTTACATCGCAGTATGACCTACAAGTGCAGAGTGATTCTAAAAAATTTAACGACGCAAGCGAAACCGCGAGAAAACGCTAAAACTTATATATAAGTAATACCTAACAAGAACAATAATTACATACCTAATTTTATAAATCAAGTAAAATCTGAGATTCTAGTTTTTTTTTGACATTAGCACACAGCACCATCTAGTTCCATGATAAGCAACGAGGCTTGTGTTATGGATACCAGATAGTTGATACACTACACATATATAACTTTAAATACATATATATTTTAAATATAAACACCCATGACTGAAGTACAAACATTCATGCTCATCACACAAATGAATGTCCCAGCAGGATTCGAACCCGCGACCGCTGGCACAGAAAGTAGGGTCACTACAAACTGAGCCAAACGTGTCTAGTAGACTAACTTGTACTTTTCTTTACAGGTACTGTGAATCAGATAACCGCATCTCAACACAAAATAAATGAAAACTTTAATGATTCACGAACGCTATGGTAAAGTTACGAAATTTTTAAGTTTCAAGTTAAGCAAGTTTTTGTAAGAAATAATTGAATAGATTTTTTTACTGTTTGATTTTAATTATCTTTTCTGATTATTTCGCGGATTTATTTTGATTTTGGGTTCCCGACGTTTCGAATGTTTTACAGTTTATATTTTTGTCTATAAAGCTTAATATTTTAACTTTAAATGATAGCAATCTAAATTAATATTTTAACCTCTTTTAAATTACATTATATAAAACAAAAATATTTCTTAAATAAATAATAAATATAATTGCAATATGTATAGTAATAAAAGCTAAAATTAAACAAATAATATTGCAATTTTGATTATAATATTAATTAAAAAATTTAAGATGCTTAGAAATAAAAATCAACAAATATTGTAAGGTAGGTACTTTGAATTTTTGAAATCATGTACCTATATAACGCCTTTGAGACGTCTATAACCTTAGTCTCTTCCGTGACCATGATTGCTGTAAAGCATTCGAAACGTCGGGATAGTTTTATTTAAAATGACAAATATTCGCGTAAATTTAAGAAAGTATTATTTAATCATGTTTATAAAGCTTCTAGTAAATTATGGGGTTATTAGTTGTTTTTTGAGTAAGATATATTGTTACATATAACTTACATATACTTAGTATAGCCATCTCCTTACTAAAAATTAACGCACATCCAAAATTCTGAATCTCCATGCATAAAATTTTACCTATATAAGACTAGTTATTTTGAAAATTCCTAATTATTGAAGTTTAAATTAATGTGTAAGATCTCATATCTTATCTTATAATATTAAATGAGCAATTCTTGAATATATATATATATATATATATATATATTATATATATATATATATATATATATATATATAATTATATATATATATATATATATATATATATAATAAATAAAATATGTTGTAAAAAATATGTATCTCTAGATATATTATGTTTTTTCCGAAAAACGACTAGCGATGCTCGGTCGCCCAGATGTTAAAAATTAATATAATTATTTACTTACCACTGTTTCTCTCCATGAATCGTTTATATGAATCTACGATCGACATGTTGTAGCTTGTGGCGGCACCTTAAACAATAAAAATAAAAATAATTAAAACCTATACAACATGTAACATAAAATAAGTAAGATTCGAGTATAGAATATGCACGAGATAATTTAATATATCAACGGTTATTATTATAGAGATCCGGCCTAAGTTGAAAACGAAGCTTGATAATTTTTATTACACACTAGTGTAATAAAAATTATCGAATAGAAAAGCACACACAGATTTATCCCACGGTACCCGTTCATTTTTCCTATCAGCAGTACACTGATGTACTGCGCCGACCCCAAGTGATTTGGGAAATGGGCAGGAAGAAGAAGACCCGTTCATTTTTCCGGGATAAAAGTAATCTATTGTTTGACCGGCAATATAAGGTATCAGCATGTAATTTTACTAAATTAGGTGCATAAGTTGTTGTGTACTATAAGTTCATATAGTATATAATAATAAGTTGCTGTATAAGTTACTATAGTTTTTTTTCGGGACCACGGGATTTTTTTTATTTTCCGAGATGAAAAGTATCTAAAATTATGACCGGAGACATAAGGTACCACCATGCAAAATTTCATTTAAATCGGTCCCACAGTTTCGGAGATTAGTCCGTAAAAACAGACAAACAGGCAGAGAAAAAAAAGAAAAAAAATCTGGATTTGTTCTATTTCTCTTCTTACATCCCCCTGACTCGGTTTTTAGCATATTTTTTTCTATGTACAGACATCTACAATTTTATTACATGTAGGTATAGATAGATAGATGAAATTTTGACATAATATGTACCTGAGTGTTTCGACATGCAGGTTATTCAAGGAATCGACGATATAATAAAAATTACTACACCGTCATACAAATTGCTATTAAAATTGATATACTTTACAATTATAATCTATTACCGCGGGTGAAGCTGCGGGCTACACGCGCGTATTAGAGGGCAGATTAATACGAAGAAAGCCTTGGGCTTATCTATACATATAATAAAATTCAAACTGAGTCGAATCTGTACATTAAATATTTTTTGAAAAATTTATTGAAATAGTCATTATTATCGCAACAGCCGAATCTATGAACGGAACGCATCATGAGAAAACTACTGGACAGATTTTGATAAAATTTGGTATGATGATAGCTGGTTACCCGAGTCAACATGTAGGATACTTTTAGCTGCGGAAAAATATCTCATCTCTCAGAAATCTACACTAAACTTTAAAACATAAATAAAACATAAATTAGTAAGTAAAAAATATTTTTTAAAAAGTCGTAAGTATTTTTAAAACACAAACACAACAGAATATAAAAAATCCTCCAGTTTTTTTTGTATTTGCAAAAATTTGCTGACAGAGGCAAAAACAAAGCCTATGTATTCATTTTTATAAGCATTTTTTTTACAATGAACACACTCAGTGGAACTAATTATATAAAAACTGTTAAAAATACTGTAAAAACAAAATTTTTGGTTGTTTTTTTTTTTATAAAATAATAATTGACTTTATCAAAAAATTTCCCAAAAAGCATAGAGCTACTGCAGGCTTAAAGGCAAAATATTTATAAAATATAATTAGGTAATCTATACTAATATTATAAAGAGGCAGAGTTTGTTTGTTTAAACACGCTAATCTAATCTCAGGAACTACTAATCTGATTTGAACAATTCTTTTTGCATTATATAACCTGTTTCATTTATTGAGAAAGGCTATAAGCTATATATCATATAATATATAGGTTATCTATTCTATATTGATCATCGAGACGTCATATCGAAATATAAAAATTGTAATACGATATCTATATCCTTTTTTAGTTTCTTTATTTCAAAGCGAATCTAGCTGAGGGTTTTTGATCAATCAGTTATAAGTTATCTCACTTTAAAGCCGTTAAAATCCGTTGAAATTTTTTGAAAACAAAAAACTTTTTTACTCCAATCTTAAAATTATTAAACAAGATAATAGCTGTAATATAAAAAATAATCTCCTTCTGACTGATTTAGAGAATGGAGACTAATCTAAGACTGCATAAGAGATCTGCTGAGAAGAGAAGAGAGAAGAGCTGCACTGTGCGTGCACTCTGTGCACGATTTCCTTTCACTCTCAACTCCGGTCGGACGCCATTTAAATTTAGTGACACGACCTGTAAGAGATCAGGCGCAGGACCAAGGGCTTTACATACTCTACGTGGTACGAGGGTGAAATACCGCCAACTAAATCCGGGCTGTTACTGAGAAATTCTTGACAGAAAAACTCAATAACTATACTTGGCTACATCCGGGAGTTGAACCTAAGACCTCCGGAACCGTATATGTTGGCGACAAAGATGGCTGCAGTATTTAATTTGCTTAAAAATAGCTGAATCACCAGAAAAGTTTCCAATACTTACAAGACTACTCGAAGGTATCTAGGCTACGCAGTCAAGGGCGCACTTTAACCGGCCTTGAAGGCAAAGAAGGTCGACCAACGACCACTGTGACCGTCTATCGGAAACTGACATTTACAAAAACATATTAATATTTAAGTGAATTAGTATTGCAAAACCTTAATTATCCTTGAGATGCGTAACTTTCTCTTTTGCGTAATCAATTATTGCTGAGTGATTTAGTTAATGAGAGTGTTATTGTAAATGGTTTTCATTGAATTTTTATTATATACTAGCAGTACCCGCGTCTTCGTCCGCGTTGAAACTTCCGATCGCTACCAAACTTCACAGGATCGACCACTGTTCTAAACCGAAGATTGCCTGGAAATTTCATCATAATCGCTTCAGCCGTTTTAGAGTGCTTAAGAAACACACATTCACACTCGTAAGGAATATTTAAAAAAAGTTTCATTGAAATCTGTTGAATAGATTTTTAGTTAAATCCATTCGAACATACATTCAAAGACGACGACACGTTTGGCTCAGCTTGTAGTGACCCTACTTGCTGTGTCAGCGGTCACGAGTTCGAGTCCCGCTGGGGCATTCATTTGTGTGATGAGCACGAGTGTTTGTACTTCAGTCATGGGTGTTTATATATGTATTTATAATATTTGTGTATATAAAGTTAAAAAATATTTATAGTGTATCAACTATCTGGTATCCATAACACAAGCCTCGTAGCTTACCATGGAGCTAGATGGTGCTGTATGAATTTTTTTTATATAATTAGTATAGATAGAGAAATAGTTAATTACTTCCACATTCTTGAAACAAAACTAGTTAATGTGGTGATTTCGCACGCATTGTTTCTAATTAGATGGCATGGAATCGAGCTATGTGATTAATATATAACTTGCCTATTTTTTAGGGTTCCGTGCCACAAAAGAAAAAAGGACCCCTTATAGTTCACTTCGTTCTCCGTCTATCTGTCGGTCTGTCCGTCTGTCAATCAAACTTCTATGTCAGCACAATCATAAAAGATATAGCTTTTTATCTCGCGTATTTTGACAATCGGAAAAATTCGAAAACCGCGATTGTAATTATTTTAATGTTTCATGCTACGGAACCCTCATTATGCGAGTCAGACTCTCACTTGTCTGATTTTTTTATTCAGATTATTCCTATTGAAACTTACGCAGTTCTTGAAGATAGTGTAATGAAATGTTTGTAAAAAATAGATGTTGATTTGGAAAAAATAAACAAAAATACGTAAAACTTTTTCCAAAGGTATAATTTCTCAAAATTATAGCATAAGAAAGGAACCCTAACATGAACCTATGACTAAGTTTACACTGTCCAATTCTCCACCAGTCATTTCCTACGTGTATTTTTCCAACTAGTAGTTAGTAGTAATTAGCAGAATATAATAATGATACTGCCGAATTTCCTAACAAACAATAAAAAATCTATTTAACTGTAAAAAATCAAGGGGATCCTCATACAAATTTGAAAACTGAGGCAAACGATACGTTTGGCTCAGATAAGTTAGAGAATATTAATTTTAAACTGTAAATTATGAGCAAATATAAATGTTTTGAAACATAGGCCCTATTTTATCAAGGTTTCAAAAAATCGTATTATGAATTATTATGGATATTTCTTCATCCAATAACATATTTCGTAAATGCAAAATTTTCTTTTAATATATCTTGTGTTGTATAAATAAGCTATATTTCAATTTTTAATGATTACGAAAGAAAAGGTTTTTATGATCCGATACTAAATATATGTACTCGTGTTTGTGTACATTAGAATAAAGGAATAAATACACCTGTGCACAACACAATGTGCACTTTCTATTCCTGTTACTATCATGCTCCGGTAGGATAATAACAGGCATTACCAGTAAGAGATTACGTGAAGGACTGACGGCTTTACGTGAATTCTGAATTCGAACCCAGGACCTTCGGATCTGTAGCCGTTCATGCTAGCCACTAAACCACAGAGCAACATATACGTACAAACACACAAGTGAGTTGACTACCTTCTTTTTCAAGTCAGATTTCCTGTACATACACAAATAACCTGGTTCCCCAACACAATGTTAACATGAAAATGTGATGAAGCGTGTGATGTACTTACGAGTATGACATAAAAAATCGTGATTTATATGTACCTAACTGTAAAAAAATCTCTTCAGTATCTTAATCTATGAAGCTTATTAATCACTACAATAATATTATAATTGGGCTAAAGACATAAATTAGATATTATGCACTAGATATAGTGTTTTAAATTATATAATTTTTTTGTCATCAAGCATGTTCCAGAACTAGGTTCTTATGAAATAAACAAATACAAGCAAACGAGAAAATCTATTAGGTATATATAAATTAACAAAGACAAAAGAGTTCAATAGGTACCTACTTTTAACACTCAAGCTCGTCAACAGTTACTAAACAAAAAAAAGACTATCGATAAACAGAGGAGAAAAAGGTACTGAACTTGTAGAACAGAGTAAAGCATATGCTATAATTTATATAGCTATATAGTAAAACTAGCGACTCACCCTCGCTCCGCTCGGGTTCGTCCCTATTTGTGTTTTAACGTTTAGTATCGATTTCTCAGAGATGAGCTATTTCCCCGCAATAAAAAGT